GGAACCCACCTTACAGCATTCTGGATGTCTTAATGGCCTTAAATATCATTAATTAAAGAACGATATAGAATGAACATAGTGCTGATAATTCGTGTGTTAAGCAAGTTCACAGCACATGTCAGGAAACTCTACTGCAGGATGCCTGGTTTCTGAATCCCAAATTGCTTTATTAGGGCAGCAAATATCCAGGCAAGGTTTCCGGTCTCCTCACACTGGACATGAAGTTAAGTATTCACCCTAAGCTGCACTGTTTTTAGCTTTTGTTTGTAAGCACTACTGGTCCTTTTCCATTCTAAGTTGCTAAGTTGCACTTTCGATGAAGAATGACTATTTTGGAACTGGCGGTCCATAGCAAACTGACGCCTAAAATTATCTAAAAAGCACACTTCTATTTGGGCTTTGGTTTGACAGGTTTCAAAATCTATCTTTATAAAATAAAATTCCGTCAGAGGTATCTATTTCCCTCTATTGATTATAATAGAAACTTAGATGACAAACCCTTCAGACATAGTTTCTTAACTTCTGGATGTCTCAAATTAAGTGAGATGAGTCCCATTTCAGATATTCAGTCTAAGGTTGTTATTGAGTTATCCATTATAAAGGGACAGGCATGCCCAGAGGGTTATATTGCCCATCCTAGCACAGATAGACAAAGGGAAGAATGCACAAATCTCTGGAAATGTCTTTCTCTCTCTCCCTTCTATAGGAATCCTAGAAGATATTTAGAATAGATCAGAAACTTTTAGGCTGTTAAGCCTAAGTCAGATGAATCACTCTTCACTTCTTCTCACCCCTATGCAGAAAATGTACATAACAGTATTGTTCTACCCCATCCAGGAATTAATTCATAACCAAAGAAATCCTGAGCTGCCACAGTAGGTGAGATGGTGAAAAAGGTGCAACAATACTACATTTTTTAATCCTGTGTAACTTCTGCATAGGATGGAGGCTGATGTGATTTAGGTATGCATGATTCTACCCCTCTACTCCTCTCTCTTGAGACCCCACCTGCAGTGCTGCTTCCAGCTCTGGGGGTCCCAACATAAGAAGGACATGGACCTGCTGGATTGAGTCCATGGAAGGCCACAAAGATGCTCACAGGGTTGAAGCACCTTTCCTCTGAAGACAGGCTGAGAGAGCTGGTGTTGTTCAGCCTGGAGGAGACAAGGCTTCTGAATGATCTTAGGCACCTTCCAGTACCTAAAAGGGCTATAAAAGAACTGGAGAGGGATTTTGGATAAGGGCCTCGAGTGACAGTACAAGGGGTAATGGCTTCAAAGTGAAAGAGAGTAGGTTTAGGTCAGATATTAGGAAGAAATTACTTTTTGTGAGGGTGGTGAGGCACTGGCACAGATTGCCCAGAGAATTTGTGGATGCCCCATCCCTAGCAGTGCTCAAGGCCAGGTTGGATGGGGCTCTGAGCAATCTAGTCTAGTGGAAGGTATCTCTGCCCATGGCAGGGAGATTGAAACTGGATGATCCTTCCAACCCAAACTATTCTATGATGGTTCTATGAAGTGTAGAGAGTTTATTCTGTGTGGGTGGATGGACAAGGCCACATCTTGGATTTGTAAATATGTTGTGCAGAATGACTCTCCAACACTTGGCTGTTGCCCAGATACGAAGACATGGAGAGAAGGAGAAAACCAAGCTGAAGATGATGCCTAGGAGGGAGCATGACTGACAGGTACGATGATAATATTGTCCACAGTGATTGAGAATGGAGGTGGAGGAAAGAAAAGGAAGGTTTTGGGAGGAAAAAAAGAAGAGCTCTGTTTTATACATATTGAGCTTGATCTGATAGCTAAACATCCACCAGGAGAAGCTGGAAAAGCAGTCCAAAATTTTGGTTTGGACAGGAGTCAGTCCTGCAGTAGAGAAGCTAGATCTGCAACCTGTCACTGTAGCAATAGGAGCTGAATTTGTTTTGGTGGATAAGGCTGTTAGGGACAAGACTTGCATGAGGAAGAGAAGAGGATGATATGAAAAGACCTGTTTATGTCCCCATATGGATAGAAAACAGAGACAGGAGGGGATGGAGTAAGCAAAGCTAAAAGTACGGGGCGTATAATTGTTATAAATATATCATAAATACATGCAAGAGTACATGAAAATTATGATCTCTTAAAAAGGAGGATACAGAGATCAAGTAAAACACTATCATGAAGTTGATGAGCTCATAGGCAAAATTATCTAAAAAGAAAAAAAAAGAAACTCTCTTGACAGGTAGGTACAGAAGGAACTTTGGGCCTGCTCAAAAGCAAGGGATTTTGGGTAACTTATTTCTAAAGGAAATGATTGTTTAAAAATTGGAAAGCTTTAGACCTGTTTGGTGGACTCCTAGGAATAAAAAGGGCCTTGCACAGGAAAATGAGCTTGTGGTGGACGGTGGTCAGGCACCTGTCCAAGGTAAGGTTAATTAAAAAAAAAGAAGAAAAGAACTTTCATAAAAGAAAGTTGCATTTTGAAACTATTAGGCAACATATGTTGTGTGAACAGGAAGTCACAGTAGAGCAATAATCCTGACAGCTGTGGAGGAACAGGAGTCTGCTGCAGGAATGAATGGCTCGAGACCTGACAAGAATGATGATGGATGCCCTGTTGGTGGTACAAGAGGACAAACCAGTAGACGCTTAAATTGGCTGAACCACAGGAAAAACATTGAGTTGGCATTACAACAGGACAAATGAGACCAGTCCGAGTGGTGGGAGAAATGGAAGGGACTGAAGGAAGATGGCAGCAGTGCCCTCTTCTTTCCCAAGGACGACGGCTGCGTTGCCATCTCACCACGAGGTGGCTGCATTTCCCTGTGAACATCCAAGCCCTGAATGATGCTGCACACTCCGATGTGCCATGAAAACCAAGAGTGGGAGCAGAGATCCTGCCCTTGTAGGATTTGGCCTATCTCTTCAAAGAGCCTTAGAAATTTTGAGACTCTCTGGGAAAAACCTCTTTTGCTCCATGTGTTCGTTGAGTGTCGGTCACTTGGCAGGTCCTCACGGGTCTGCTAAGAGATGGTAGCTGACTGTGTTTCTGTGCCTGCTTGTAGCTCATAGGAGATACAAGGCAATGCCATGTAACTTAGCTTATAATAAAGAGAAGGACATTAATAATTCCCTTCTTGCATTTCCTGTGAACCAACAGTACGTACTTGGAATGCTGCTGAGGTTCAACCAATTCACGGACACTTGTGAAGCCATGGAAACTTGATTGTGAGTCTGGGATGGGCATCTAGTAAAGGTTAAATTGTGATTCTTTTCCGCATGCCCTGTTCTGGTTATTCAAGAACATTCTATAGCAGCTATTTGAGTCAGATATGTCAAGAGGAAAAATGGTCCCTTAAAATTGACCCATGAAATAACGAAATTCTCAAGTGTTTTGTACATCCTAAGCTCAGGCGATATCACCGGGATGGAACAGTAATTTGTTCCCACGTGGTCAAGAAATGAGTACTTTTTTCTTATCCAAAGTGTTCTGAAAGTAGGAAGGGAAAGGACTGGGAAAGAATAATAATATTTTGGGTATACTAAATCTGGAAATATTTTCAACTCTCCTTGAGTTTTGTCTGTTTTCTCCCATCTTCCTGTCACATTTGTTATAGGAGTTTGCAAGATTATTGGGATGGAGACTGACATTTTATTAAACCTTTTTGTGGTACCACACCTTATGGAATTGAAATTCCTGACATCAGCTTATAGACACTATTACTTTGGGTCAAAGTTTGAAAGGAAGTCACTAAAAGTACCTCTTCAACATGTTTCAGGAAAGATGTCCATAGTATTTGACTATGGGATGTTAGCATCAAGCCCAATATCTGGTTTTGTTAGGAGGAACCTTTTAGGTTACTCTTAAAAGCATTGAAGTACTTAAAAAATTTGAGACCTACATCTTTAAGGAGACTTTTTTCAGTAGCATCACTGGTAAACATTTTTAAACTGATTTGTCTAAGATGGGGTTCCAAAAAATGAGATCTTGATGATTTGCTAGTTTTAGAAACCTTTTGCCTTGTAAAGAATTCTCCATTTTCATCCCTGCAAAAATCTAGAGAAAATCTGTTGGGCCCACTTTTAAACTTATTTGGATAAATTCAGGAATTTACATTAGAGTCTCTTACTTAAAGGGAGATTTTACACTCTCAAATATTTTTAATTGAGCTTTCTTGTATCCTTTCCAAGTTGTCGGCATGCTTCTTAGCCTTTCATGATTTACACTGTGAATAATTAGTAATAAAAATAATATACTATTATAATAAACCAAAACATGTTGTACCAGATTGTCTTTCCCTTCTGACAGCGGAATGCCTTACATTCCTCTCTGTCTTATGATGATGTACAAATATCTGTTTGCCTAAAAAATACATCTACCTTGCTATGTTCTTGAACTATCAATCTCGAAACCCCATATTAGTGGATATTTGTACAAGTGGATCTTCCTGGAAGATCGAGTAGCTGGTCTGAGACTTTCAAAAGTCAGAGATAGGGGACCACATTTATGCCTAGGTAGGTTCTTTTGTGGTAGCAATGAGAGAGGCCCATCACTGTGTGATTTGTCTCTGTCTCCTAATGCTTCATCTGAACATGCTGCTCTCACCTGAACACTGGCAAAAAGTTCTTTATCCTTTATCAAAGAGACTCTTTGAGGAGAGAAAACAAAGAAACTCTCAGACATAAGTTTCTACTTGATTCTTCCCTTTGAAACTTGAAAGATTACACTCATGGTGAGTCTGACCCAAAGTTTTTGGCATCTGTGAACCATATGACTTTTTATCAAGTCTTCTAAACTGTTGGTGACAGGATACAGCACCCCTTGGGGTCCTGTGCCTGTGAGGAATGACAGTGTCATCCTAGCCCTTCCACTGATGAGTTAAGCACATCCAAGGCCCTGAGCCTTCTGGATGATGAGTTGCAGAGCAGAGATAAATCATCCCTCCTCCTCCATCAGGCCACAGGACAGCCAAGGCTGGACCAATTCTCCCTTGCCAATGTTACAGAGCTACTCACCGGCATTGTCTGGCTGCCATGCAAGGCATTGATGGCAGCTTGGGCCTCTGCATGTGAAGAGTATTTCACAAATGCACACCCTGGAAGAGGAAAAAGAAGAGTGTAAGAAAGGTTGCATGGATGTCATGAAAGTCCATCTAGCTGAGTATCCTGTCCTCAGAAGTGGCCAATAAATATGGCTGTGGAGAAACTATAACAAACAGATGTGCCCTGATCCTTTCCAAAGTCCAGTTGTCAGCAGCCTGAGGACCACTTAAGGCAAAGCTGCAACCAGAATTCCCACATTGCTTGTAATGAGCATTGACAGACACAAACTCAGCAAATACATCTTGAATTTGACCTCCACAGCTTTACATGGCAGAATCTTGCAAAATTTTACAATTTATTGGGTGAAAAAGACTTTTCTTTCATTCATATTAGACTTAATACTGAGTGTTCTGCCCTCTGTGGTTATGAGATATGGTACAGAAGAGTGTTTACATTATCAAAAAGCTACACACACATACTTTTTACAAGCAACCACAGGTCAAATATACAGAAGGCATTCAGGGTTACTCCAAATCCATGAGGTACCTTATCATATCACTGTCTGCTAGAGCTCCATGAGACACTGCCCAGAGCTTGTCCTGGCTCCAAACAACTTTGGTCTGACAAAGCACGAAACAGCTTCTGATGAAGTAGCAGGGATGGGAGAGGTAAAAGTGATGATTACCTTCTTGTCACCACCAAACTTTGAATCTTAGTTTTTCATAAAACTGGCAAAGCCAGTGCCAGTGTAGGTGTTCTCTTCTGGACATTAGAGAAATGTAGGCAGTGCTTCTCTGGCCTGCATTGCCATGTGAGGAATCTCATGCTGAACTCTTATATAAGGTTTTAGGATAGAAAGGTGCATTTATGAATATGTGCTGGAGTGCAGAAATGATCAACACTTCAAAGGGTGACATGCACTACTAGAGTGGGGGAATGTATTGCCAACACTCCTAGCTACAAGCAAACTGACTCAGAGAGAGGAAGGGTAATTTCCATATGCTAAGGCGGTTTTTGGAACAGACTGGGAGAGATCTGAGAAGTTCTGGCTTCCATCCCCTTCTATTACTACCAGATACTTCCGAGCTTTTAATCAATTTGCAAAGCCCTCACTCTTTCCCCGAAGGGGTCCAGAGGGGATGCCAGTCTTGATAATGGGATGTCTCTCCTTCATTCCCTTCGCAGCATCTTCAGAGGGTCCGGACACCATTATGGACCCCTACAAGTGCAGGGTGAAAAATGAAGCAATAGAACTTGCAAACTGTAAGAATGAGCCCCAAAGGTCCCTCATATCATCACTGCAGGCTGATAGAAGTGAGATTGAAGAAAGCAGTGATAGTCCTTTCTGAAAATAATACACATTTATGAAATTAGTTTACAGTTAGGAGCCCTTCAATTTGCGTTACCTTCTCAGCACCGTGCTCAGACTGTATTTCAGGAAAAGCCCAACGATTATTGCTAGTAGTTGGATCTAATTTATAAGGAGCTGAGAGGAAACAATCATGAGAAAATGAGATAGATAACTTCAGCTGGAAACTATAGGGATCAATTATGACATAATCGCAGCCCAGCATTCCCGGGCTCCTGAGATACTGCGTTTTCCTCTTCATTAATCAGAGATAATCCAGAATTAGGGTGTTTAATTATTTGCAGAGATTCTTTTGTACTTTCTGCCTCTAAAAAGAAGATGCTGATTAGCAAATACACAAAAGCTTTCCAGTTCCAGCCACCCATTGCATTTAGTGCAGGATTTTTGGCTGCAGTGTTGTTGTCATATTGAAGGTTTCACTCTTTTCAGGTGAAATTCACCCGTACGCTGAGGGTCCTGATGGATCAGTGGAGCTGGATAAAGGTGGGAATGAAGGGAGTAGCAGGCATTTATCTTGGTTAATGCCCAAGATATTAATGGGATCCCTCCTACTGCTTCCAGTAGGTTTTGAGGTAGCAGCTCAAGTGAAAACTCAGTTTTTACTGGTGTATGGTGGCAAGGCAATAGCAGAGATCCCAACATTTTGTCCATTTTGTTTGCATCTTCAATGGGATGGCTTCTGTACATAACATCAAAAGTGCACATAACCTTCCTTCCCATTTCACCAGAACTGACTCCAGGAGCTTATGAGGTGAGGATGAGAGTCCGGCCACTCTTCTCAGAACAATAGTGTCACTTAGACAGAAGCAAACCTGGAATGTGAAGGGATTTTGACAAACAGAGAGATACAACCTGTGCTGAACAGGGTGATATATGTGCTTAAGTTTTTCTTGTTTCCTAACGTCCAGATTACAGAGCTGGAAGGGCTGCTCTGACTGTCTTGTCAACTTGGAGGAGACTGCAGTCAGGCCCTAGGATTATGATTGCAGAGGGTGCCTAGACTCCTCTTGTGGAGGGTGCTGTGGGAAATTTTTATTTTCTGAGTTATCAAGGCATACAACTGCTTAATGGGGAAAAAAAGGGGGGGGGGGGAAGGGAGGGAAGGGACAGATGTACAGAGAGCAGCAGCAATGCAGATTCTGTGGGTCCTTCTGGCCTGCTGAACTGGATCCACTTGAGCTCCCTCACTTGAGGAGTCCTGGACTCCTGGCTGCACAATGGTGAGCTTTACCTGGTGGGATGTAGAATCACTCCACCCTCTCCCAGCAAAGACAGGTGCTGCACTCCCCTTCAGGCAGAGAAACTCCTCAGTCACAGCTCTTCTTCCACCTGGTTACCTAGTCCAGCCACTGTGCCTGCTGCTGAGTGACTCAGCAGGAGGTGTTTCTGCAGACCCTGAAGGGCATGCCTCATGGCTCAGGACATCACCCATGGCTTCAGGCAAGGCTCAGCAGCTTTTTGGCTGTGACTGGGCTGTGATGGCATTAAACTGAGAATCTGCAACCTACCTTCTGAGAGCACTGAGCTACCTGAAGGACTTAGAGGCTTACCACAGGGATGCCTTGTGGGGCTTTACACAGTGGGTTGGGTAGGATTGAAGTCTATGGGATCTGATTGCTATCTGGAATTTAGGCAATCTGCTTAAATCTCAACTGATGTAGAATTCAAGCCTTATGGGTTTTACCCAAAATAAGAAGCTCACAAGCAATGTGTGTCACATATAGGTTTCTAGCAGATGGAAAACATTACAGACTGGGAATAACTTTGTGGGAGTTGTGGCTTGCCTGACTGTCTCCTAAGATAAGGGCACTAGCCTTAAGTTTTCCATTGGATTGACTGCTCTGTGTGGTGTGTGCATGTACGAAACTGTGTGTGTGTAAATTAGGAGCTTCACATTCTCAGTAAATAGCACCAGCAAATGGAAGCTGGTAATATTAACTCTGTCAAAGCTCAGTATTGATCCTGAGCAGCTCAGTGAAACGCCAGCCTGAGACTGCAGCCTGCTAGCACTAATAATTAAACTGGTTAGCAATATGGAGCTGCCACTCAGATTCTGTCTTATAATGAAATTGTTTAAGAAGAAAAGAAAAAAAAATAGAGCAAGCATGAAGACAAGTCTGTGGTTTGGATCTCCTCTGGAATTTGTTTCTTACAGATCTCAGACTTTGTTGCCTTTATTTTTACTCTCTTTAACTCCTTTGTCATTAGACTTTTTTCCATACAGTTCCAGGTAGAAGCAGACAGACATATATTTTTTGCTTTTCCCCAATTTACTGATTTGTTCAGTGAATGAACTGCTTAACTGCTTGCTGTTATGACGATTGGAGCTGCTCTAGGCCATTCTAGCCTACTGTTTCCAGTGGGGCAGCCCCTGTCTCTGGGTGTTGTGGAACTTAAGTACACAATTGAAGAAAGGTGCCCACTTTTCAGCCTATTTTCAGTCATTTATATCAGGAAGGCTGAGCTGTGCTGATGTATATTGAACTGCTGCCCTATAACACTGGTGTGATTTAGTTTTTTTTTGGTTACCAGTGATTTTATGGAACAACAATATCGTGCTCCAGTGTATCCCTGTGATTTGGATTTTTTACCTCCCTGTTGCAAAATATCCTGGTTGATGTTGTCACTTGTCAAAATACCGAGTGAGATATGAACTGTGTCAGCAGGACTGGTCTGTTCTCTGGTGTTGAACATTCCAGAACAGTTTATACTATATTATATGCAGATCAATATTTAATGGACACACAATACTGTTAAAAGAAGAAAACTTCCTATTTAGATTGAAGTTACTTTGTCTAGAGACTGATGGGGACAAAAAATGACATTCCTGCTTGAGAGGGAGGCCTTATTTTTATACTTGGCCTGTAGTAGAGGATCTTTTGTGCTATCCAGGTAAGAAGTGATGCCAAAAAGAGGCAAAGGCACCTAGTTTTGCAGTGAAGCATTTGCATGCTTCAAACGGTAAATATCTACCAAGTGTAATATTTAAATTGGTACCTGTAGCCTTGTGGTTGCGATCACTGACTGATAGGAGTCCACACAAAAAAGACTAGGTGGAGAAGAGGAAGACCTGAGACTGATGGATGGGAAATAAGCAGAGATGATGATGGAGCCAGTGAGTCAAGATATAAAGTATCAATTGTGTCTTCTTTTAAAGAAAGAATCATCCTGTTCAATGGGGTGGAGAGATTATGTCTCGAGCGAATACAAAGGCCTGTTCAGAGGGGAGGTCTGTCCAAGCAATAATAGGCATCAGTTTGCACATGCTGAGACATAGTTCTTTGGAGAGGCGTGTTTTAAAATGCAATTTTTCCCCTCATGCACAGAGTGACCAGCAAAGTACAGCCTTCCCATTGCAAATGTGACCCCTTCCTAAAGTAAGACATGCTGTTCTAGAGGCTACATGGTACTTCTGTCATACCAGAAAATGGCACTAAGTCCACTTGACACAGGCCATCACCTCACCTTTGCTGTTGCCATCGGGTCCCCGAAGGATCGTGCACTCCTCAATGTTGCCAAACGCCTCGAATAGCCTGCGCACATCGTCTTCCGACTGCTGCTTATTGAGCATGCCCACAAAGAGTTTTCTGTCTTCTGGAACAAAATAAAGAGATGCTTACCATATTTCAGGAGGGATACGAGAGCCAAGATGTCTCAGCATCACATGCAAAACAAACGGTGATTTCATTGGGGTGACACATTTCAGGAGCTGCTAATCTTTTCAGGTGGCTGGCTCGAAAAACCTTAATAGCCTCTGACTTTCAATGAGTACTTGAAAATAATCCAGAAAATTTTAAAAAACCAAACCACCAAACAACAAACAACAGTGATTTTGTTATATATAAAATCTCTAACTGCCTCTTAAAATCCAGGCAGCAAAGTGTTCCAAATCAGCTTCTTCTGATCAATTTTTGCAGTCAGCTTGCAGTAACTTAAATGACAACATTGCTCAGACTGCAATCCAAGAGGAATATGGATAAAGATAGCATATAGAAACCAAGTCCAAATGAAAAATAAAATAAGTTAGTGGCCCTTGCAATACTAAATAAGTTGCAGGAAAAAAATGTTTAACATAAGCTTTTTTAAATCAGGATATAACGGAAGTCACAGCCTGTAAATTGGAGATTTGTCATTCAAGCCCACTCAGAAACATGTATCTAAAAGTTTGGATGAGGTTTTTTAATATATTCATAAAGTTCACTTGAAACAGGCCCAAAGTTTTTGAAACATAAATTGTTTTTTGAAACATAAAGTTAACTTATGTGATTGCTAATGTCTAAGGTAACTTGAGCAGGTGGTATTTCATGCCACAGCAGGACATTATCTGTCAGTAGATAATTGTATTTTGAACAAGGATGCTCAGTGTAACCCAGTAGTGTGCACTTGCAGCCCAGAAAGCCAACCATGTCCTGGCCTAGAACAAAAGCAGGGTGGGCAGTAGGTCGAGGGATGTGATTCTGCCCCTCTGCTCTGCTCTTGTGAGAGCCCACCCAGAGTGTTACATCCAGCTCTGGGGTCCACAACATAGGAAAGATGTGGGCCTGTTGGAGTGAGACCAGAGTGTGGGTTGGAACCACATGATGTTTAAGGTCCCTTTCAACCCAAACCATTTTATGATTTATACTCAGATTTAAACCAAGTTTGGGGATCTTCATGAGACACCTTCAGAAAATATTGGTGAAAACGGACTAAATTTATGATTGTCAGAAATATGTCAGAGGGTGCTGAGTTATGCCTGGAGATCAGGTTTCCATTCAGAGACTAACACCACTGCACCAAGAAAAAAAAAGGAAATTTACATAGTTTACACCGTGTATGTAAACAGGCCATTTGCACATGATTCATAAATGTCTTATTTATCATTCATTAAACACTATGTAAATGTGTGAACCAAGAGGTTTTTATTCAGAGCACTTTACAGAGCAGATGTAACCAATTTGAATAAATATATGTAAATATATAAATAATTTTATTTTTTATTTAATTTATTTTTTAATGTACTGGTTAACCTACAGCTGAACAAAACACTGGTTTGCAACAATCCTTTTCTGGCTGACTAATTGGGCAATTTATGTCACTTTTGTTCACCGAGAAATCACTGGTGTAGGCAATCTGTTCTGCTTCAACCAGTGTTTGATCAAAATTCCCCTCTCCAAGATGCACCTGCACATTGGCAAATTACTTTACAGCCTTGGATGTGAATAATTTTTCATGCAGTGGCTATTGAGTGGGGATATTAGGAGCTTTCAACCCTGCAGTCGAGTTATCCACGGCAGCAAAAAGTGAACTACCCACAGAAAACAAGGAGTTATGTTGCCTTCAGTTAGGCTGATGAACTGGTAGAAGAAATAGGTTTAGGAGGGTATATGTGCACTTCTAATAGGTGAGAAAAACAGAAATAGCCTTCAGACAGACATGTCAAAGCAAGAAATGTTCCTACTTTATGTTGGAACTGATTAAGCAGAGAGGCATTTTGTGGTCTTTGCTGACAACACAGCGTTCAGACTTTAATGATGCACAGATCCCTAACACCATGGAGGTTGTCCTCACCTCACGAGGAGGTGATTTAGACATGTGAAAAGGTTTCTTTCTCGTTGGTAAAGTGTCCTGCAAAAGGACATCCCTCCAAGACATGAGGTATAAGCCTTAGAGAGGCAACGACTGAAGTTCACCACTGTGCACTCTGGGGGACATCTTTCAGTCCAGGGCATGACAGAGCCTTAGAAAAAGAATCCTGTCCTAAGTCCAAAGGTTGTCCAAATATTGGAGGAAAGCCCACCCAGCAAATGAGACCAACTGCCCTGCAAGATGGGAGGTATTTTAGGAAGGGAGCAGAGTAGTGGGAATGAACTAGGAACAGCGCTGGCAAAAGGTTTTACGTAGAAACTTTGTGTCTAGTAAAGACTTCCAGCACAACAGAAGCATTTGTTATATTGTATTTTATATTGCTTCCCCTGTTTCAAATAAGCTGCATCAGCAAAAACACTCCTATAGCTGTGTAACTGTGTTTTCACTAGACTTTTTGCTAATATAAATGTATCATTTTTTAAAAAAAGTCACATCCCTCCTCTGTCAGCAAAACTCTCTAGTGTGGAACTGGCCTGAAACTGCCTTGTTTGGTCTACTTTATGCAAAGCTAAACCCAGGGTTCTAGGAACCATTCAATTTTATTTTATTTTTTTTTTGTTATTGTATTTTTTCTCCCTGCATCTCTGCACTACACTGGCAGTGGTGGTGCTGGTCCCCAGAGCTAGCTGGCAGACAATGTGGTGCTTTGGTGAGCTACCCATAAGCTGGTTGTCAGACCACCAGGAACAGGCTCTGCCAAAGGTGAGGACAACCTTCCCCGGGAGCTGCTGGTCTGGTCACTACAGGGCAGGTGGCACAAAGGGGACCCTCATGGACAGCCAGGACTCAGCTGCTTGGACATCACCTCCAATCCCATCTCCAAGTCAGTGTCCTGTCTCCATCCTGAAAAACAGTGCCTTGTGTTGTTGGGGGAATCATTAGTCATGCCTGCCATCACAGAAATTGACACACACACTTGACTGATAAAAAATGAGTCAGTTTAACAAGTTTTTTACTCTGAGTGGCTCTTATAACAAAGTGCTTCATTTGCCTCTCACACCCCAGCTCTTTCAGGGGACTCAGAAGTGTGTTTTAATGACACCCCTCACACATCTTGGGTGGGAAGAGAGAGGGAAGGGTCCAGCAGATGGGATCATTCAGCATGTTCCAGGTCTTGGCTAATGAGTTTACGCACTGATGGTCTTGTATGAGCCTCTTACACCCTGAGTATCATCATACACTGCTCTTCCACATCTCAAATAAAAAACTAACATGCCATGCATCAAGACAACGACTTCTGATTTTAAAAGATGTCTAAAAAAAGACCATGAAGCTGTCAGAATAAAGTGAAGAGGAATGCGCTGATGTCAGTGGGATGTGTCTTGAGCACTATGGATGCCACAGGTGCCCCCCACCAGATGATTCCAGTGTCCTCTAATGAGAGTTGGGGGATCTACATCCTGCAAAAAATCAAAGTTTTAGGCTGCACACAAATCTGGAGCAGCCACAGATCAAGCTGTCCCTTAATTCTGCCTGCCTGTAGGGTCCATCCATACCAACCATGGTCCACCCATATCACCTGCACGAGTTCCATGCTTTCTCTTCTTTCAGTGAGACACTTTCCCAAATCTATGTGTCTCAGGATCCATGCCTGAATGTCAGAGAACTGGGAAGACTCAGTTCTCTGCGGCCTCCGTTGCAAAGTTCAGTGCTATCATCCTCATTTCAGACTGTGGGACTGAGGGGTAAAAACCTTCAGACCAGGTTCCCTAAGACCTGGGTCCCAGGGGAAAGTGAATACAGTTAAGGAGTACAGAAATAACACTGTCCAAGGCAGAAGCAGAGGACAAAAAGAGGTCAGGCATAAGCCCATGATCTGGGATGTCCCCAGCCTGAGCCATGGGCATGACCATGTGCTCCAGCCTCAACTGGCCCATGGCCCTAGAGAGGGTACCTCACAGCACCATACTGTCTTGCACAACAGAAATGGGCAGCCGCCAGGAGCATCCCCTATCTCCTCTCTATGAAGGAAATCAAGACACTGAGCTTACTCAGCATGTACAAGAACAGGTGTGATGAAAGAAGCCGATCCCACGTAGCCTCCTCCAGGCCACACATGACTGTGCATCAAATATTGATCCACATCTGAGCATCTTCCTCTGCTTTTGTCAAGAAGGACCTGTCCAAATTCCTGTCTATTAAGTACCCCAAAGTGACTATTTCTGATTCTATCTCACATCCAAATGTTACACGTTGGTGAAGACACCTCGTTAACCTTGCTGCAGGGTCAGGCCTTAAAGCAGCAGCACTGTGAGCAGTGACAGTCCTGCAGTGTTGTGACCGAATGTGGTGTTCATGTGAGCCTCTTCTACCCATGTTTTTGAGTTCCCTCATTATTGTTCACCCCATTATTGGTCTTTGCCCACAAGCTGAGTCTATCACGCCTGCTTCGCCATGGAAATATCCAGCCACAGGTGGATATTTCTGTGTGTGGTGGTACCCAGGAGAGACAAGGAGGTTTTTGCTGGTGCACTCTGATGACACTGAAAATTAAATTTCTCCCAAGTCTACCCATTTTGCTGTAAACAAACCACCACAACAACAGAAGGCAGCAGTTCCTTCCAGAAGGACAGACTGGGAGAGAAAGACCACAGCAATGGCAAACCAGGGTTCCCAGAGTTGTCCCTTTGGTGACATTCCCAATATCCCCATGCAACCAGGCTTCCCTCTTCTCAACTACTCTGCCAGGGATGGAGGCTTGTGTTCGTCAGGAAAACCGGGCTGCAAGACACAGTGATGAAGAAATGCAACTTGTCAGATAAATATACAGTGTCTATAAATCTCCCTGCTATGTTTACAGGAAACCTCAGCACTTTCCCTGGTGCAAATAGGGGTTAAATTATTCCCTGTTCTACTTGTATTTAAATGTTATGTTTCTATGATAAGCGTAAGGCTGAGGTGTCAGATGGGCCCGGGCGAAGGAGACAACACACGTGAAAGGTGAAATAATAGAGCTCTGGAAACCA